ACATCATTGAAGTTACACCGAAGTTGTTTTGTATAGTACAATTGTACAGAATATTTTATATATTCGCAGAAAACTCTTCTCAGATTTGTGTACAACGATAAAACTTACTGGTATCATAGCGCTGTAAATAAACGCTTATAGCGAAATATCTAATTTGTATACTCTTGGCCAGTATATCAACGCATGCATGACTATAAGATTAACCCACACTCACACATTAAGACTAAGTCACACTCATAATAACACTTTTACATGGTTTGAAAAATACTTGAGACTCGCAAACTAACAGTTTCAAGTATTTTAAAGCAATATAAACTGCCCAAAGCGTTTTAAAACACTGACTCACAGTCACAAAGCGCCAAACAAAATTTGTGTTTAAAGCATTCAGTTTAATCCTTAGCACATGGCTGTTGAGTTTCATTGCTGTGTACATGTACAAAGTATACAATACTGTGGTAAAAAATAGCAGTTTCTTTAGCGTTCAATCACGCGCTCTAAGAATGAACAGTTATAAATATCACAAACGAATATAAACGCTCTAACAAAGGCCTTAAACTATTTGAATACGATTCTGCCATTATCCTAAACCACTTTACAGGGTTTAGTCGAGCATTAAAGCTATAAACATAGTATTTAAACGTTCGTCGGGCGACCTAGCGAGCGCCTTTCAACAAGAACTAGCGAATAATGATAAACTGCCCGGCGTTTATCATATTTTGACGTTTCAATCGTTATGAGGTTAAGCGAAATTAACTTCAAAGATCAACCAAGCTTCGCGATAGGACGCTGTAATTCCGTTTCACTTTGAAATGTCGAAGACTTTGACAAATTGCGCTTAGCGTGAACAATTTCTCTCGGCGAGAGCTTATTACGGATAACAAATGGCATTGGGAAACCTAATACAATGCTATAAATCAACGGGGATAATACCGCTTACCTGTGAAGCATATTAAATAGAGGAATAGACCATAGATGCCGTTGTATTCCATGGTTTGGTGAGTGTAAAAGTAGATCCAAAAGTTCAGTTTTCTAGGCAAAGCAACATGAGTGGATTAGTCCAACAAACGTCTGAAAGCGGCGAGTGTTTTGAACTAACATACTGGGGCAGATAAGAAATAATGGTCGGCATACTGTAGGGGGTTCTTCTGCTCGCTTGACAGCTAGTGTCAAAATCCTGACACCTAAGTGTCACTTCTAATTGCTACTTTGATTTATCAGGAAGCGACACGAATTCCAGCTCTAAGCACGAACGCGCGTCTTTCTAAAACATGCGCACAGTTTTGCTACAATTTTGCGCAAAAATTTGACTGATTTGCATAATTTGCGCAAAACTGATTAACATAAAATGCGCGAACGTTTCGTTTCGGTTTTAACTAGTGAATAAAGTGCGGACAACAACATATGGACATAGATTGATGATGTTGGGTGTAGCATGTTAACCCTAGCCAAGATCTAATGAGAAATATGTCGTGGGGTCACCGCGATTGCAACGAAGCCCAACCAATCAGGAGACGAGAATGGGTAACCACGCAGACATTTAGTCTCTTGTTTGTTTGAATGAAGTTTTGTGTATCAAACAATCTTGTTAGACAAATCACGGTACGTTTAAACATAATCAAATAACTTCGAAATATTGATATTCGCAGGTGAACAAGAGTCGATCTTAAAACTGGCGCGGGAAAAAGCTCTTAAGTTTCGCATCCTGAGCGGATAATAGCGTAGAAAAGTAAAGTTTAGTTTAAGAAGTATTTCCTTAATTCAATTAGATGTCACTTGGCTTTAGATTTGAGCCTCGTGAAGGTGTGAAGTGTTTTTCTTACTTAGGTATTAGTGTATTTTATACTGCAATAGTTTGTACAGTACAGTACTCATTCACGCTTCTGTTTATTTTGTTTTTCTTCTGGTTTACTTTACGACGCGTTTTATTTAACAATTCTACAGAAATGAATGAATATTATTTGTATTATGATTTATGTACCGTTATAAGAAAACTTCACGAAAAGCCATGATATATATACCGGTGTCCCCTCAAAAAAACTGGAAACTGTTTGATTTCATGTAACGTAAAAGCTATAAAAGCTATCGCAATGAAATAAAGATCATTGCATTCAGAAAGGTGTGGACTAACTTCGATTTTGATACACAACACTTTGCAACGAAAATAAAATATTTATCAAGTATAACTACATCGGTAATTACAAGGTTGTTTTATGCTCATTTTTGGCATTTTCAAAAACAGTAGTTCAACATTCAAACATCAATAGCGCAGTCAATATTGCATGTAAGTTCAATTAGTGCTATATATCAAAATCTAAGTTAGTCCTTTCTGAGTGCAATGATCTTTATTTCATTGCGATAGCTTTTATAGCTTTTACGTTACATGAAATCAAACAGTGTCCAGTTTTGGGGGAAAACCAAGAATATCCATAGCTAGAAGTAGAATGCGAAAATAAAAGATTTGAATTTATACATTCTAATTATAGACAAATCTGCAAATATTTATTTCTTGATAATACTTAAATTTTATGTATTTTCATATTCAAAAACGCATTTTATGTTGAACATAGTGTTTAGCGAGGTTAGGACTGAAACACAATTCGTCTGCGAAAAGAGAGACACGCACAAAATTTCGAGCATTTCTATTTATATGGACCAATCAGATTACACCTGTGGTGTGTATGATGTCATAACTCATATCTAACTTTTCTTGCTATCTTTAAACACCTAGTTTAGTCCAGCAGTACCATTTTCCTGGTGAAGAACGCGAAGCCTTTTCCCAAGTTAGCCGAGCCTATTATAATGTTTTAACGGTATACAAAGTACGACATTCAAAATTATTCAGCTGAAATTTCCTAAAACCGCAATCAGGAAAATAGTCTGCAATTTGTTTATAAAACACTTCAACGTGAAAATTGGCACTGAAGCTTATAGTACACACAATCGGATTTTCGAGCTTTCTCCGAGAACAATTTCCTCTGCGCCAAGTATACATAACTATGTTTTATTAGCTTATAAATTCCGCTCTTGCCGATTTGCTGCGATAAACCTTTCCGTCAAAAATATGCGCCATATTTGCTGACGTCAGCATGTGCGCAAAAAAGAAGCTTTACAATAGCAATCGAGCTTTCAAAGTTAAGATGGTAAAAAATACAAAAACTATGAAGCATTTCATATCACGTTTGCAGCTATATCATTTGACTTTGTCGAACTTCACTTTTCAAATTCATTAATAATTCATGAGCTTTAAAACACAAGGGAGGGGTATGGTCGTTTATACTCTTAAAATACTGGGGCCGGTTGTTCAAAGGTGGGTTAGCGCTAACCCTGGGTTAAAATTAAACCTGCTGTTTTAGTTTGTGTATTTCTGGACGTCTGTTTATTTCAAGACTTCACAGAAGTAAACTCCTATCGATCCAGACAAGATCTCAGAAGAAATATTTCCAAATTTATAGACAAGCTGTCAGGAAGTTTGCTTTGAATTTTAGATTAACCTAGGATTAAGTTAACCCAGCTTTGAACAATCGGCCCTTGGTTAGTTTGAGAAGTTATACCAGATACTCGAAGTGGCTTTATCATACCTAAAATTACGTTGAAAACTTCGGCTAATGTCTTGTCTTTCAACACATTTTTCAAGTCTTAAATCGCTATAACAAAAGCCATCTCGTGTACGAAAAATATTACACTTCGAACCATGATAGGCAAAGCACAAAATATACGGTTTTTAAACGCAATGAACAGCGCTATACAGTCGCAAAAATTCGATGAAACTTTCGAAAGCATTTAAACTAATTATTTAAAATACCGGAAACACAATATCGAAAGTCAGGAAGGAAAAGGCTTTCGTGAGTCATTCTTCGGTAGACAAACTGTCTCTTAGAGTTAATAATTTAGCTCGTTGTTCATGAAGTTTAAATGACCCAGGTGTGCGCCGTATGTTGGGTTATATACTTTTATTTTAGGATTCACTCTTGTTTCTGTCGAAGTTGTTCGCATTAATGGGGCTTTTGTGCTGTATATAGATCGTCTTCATGTTTTGGGTACTTCCACGCGTGTTTTGTGACATATGGGGAGCATTTCGCGTGGGCACAAAATTCGTGTTCGTGTTTCAATCGCGTGGAACGGAACGGCAACGCGTCCATATTTTCCACTAGGTGAATTTGTTCGCGCGACCAGTAAAAAAGTTACCCTGGGTACCAGAGGTTATTATCCCCCTTTACGAGTGTGGAAGAACCTCTGGCACCCAGGGTATACAAAAGTAGGAACTGATCCAATTTTTTCGCTCACCAATCACATTGCCAAGATTTGTTTTTCGCCTGGTGGAAAATGAGTTAAAAGTTCGTGGTTTTAATCTAATAACGAATTACTCGTAAAACTCACCATTTTGGAATTTATCATATATCAATCCTTTACATCTTCATGTTCTACAGAAATAAAGGTTCCATATATAATATCCAACAAATAACAAAAAATCTAGTAAAACTTACCAAGAGTACAGAAATTTCAGGCGAGCTTTCCATTTTCAGGGGTATATTAGGTTTTGGGACTTGGGTGGGAGCTCCCCCCTCCCAAATTTCAGGGGGTTTGTATTTGGGGGGGGGGGGGATTCCCCCTTCCTATAGTCACAAACCCAGACGTCATTTCCTACGCTCACCTATTTCCAAGCGAGGGGATAGAAACGATGTCTGGGATCACCAACTGCACGTTTCTAAGTGATTACCCTTTTTTATACTCAAGGTTATATGCCTTATCGCTTACCAGTTTAGTATTAATGTTCCTATTCCATTTTTTTAGGGGGGAATGCTTCCCCACAGAATTGAGCTGTTTTTAGATTTGGGGCGAGGAATTCGGGATTTGGGGGGGGGGGGGAATTCCCCCTATTCCCCCGCAAAATACCCCTGCATTTTCCATAATTCGTTTAATATATACATAACCTGAGTTGTGACTGCGTAACAAGTAAAAAAACAAAAATGAATTTTTCAAACATAATCTGAAAATTTTAATCACGATTTCTAAATTTACATGTTTCTCTGTCAAAATGTTAATCTAAACTATTGCATTGTCGTTTAATTCTATTCATTGTTCAAGTGTTTCAAATGCATATTGTTAAAAATCTATCTAATCTGAAATTGTGTTATCCTTTTTATGAATGAACGAGCAGACTAAGAAATGTAAATGGTTTCCACTGAACGCTGTCGTGCATTAGATGGTGCATGGTCAACGAGCAATTATCGGAGAAAATAATGTTAACATAATAATCAGGGCGCGATAATTCGTGTACTTACGTACCTAAAATACGCCCGAATATTACAGTCTGGTACTTCTTTGTTTTCAACCAAGTATCACGTAGTAGGTACGCGGAACTCTTGCTATCTGCGTACTTATATTTTGCTGGTATCACGTGACCTTTCCAAGCCCAAAGTATTGCATGTCTTGGCGTGAAACATGATTGCATTGATGCGACGAAGGAATGTTGGAGTCAATTGTAGTGTTTGTGTACGCAATTAGCCATTCCGAAGTTGATGAGAGGACAAGTGTTAAAAAGTGCCAAAATTAAGAAATGAACCAAATCACTAAAAAGACCACCTGAAAATTAGTAAGTATACAAAGTTTGAAGATGTTTACATGAATACCCTTCGAATAACAAGCTTTCGAAAATCGCGATATTTACTATGAAATGTACTGTAATTTTTGTTTTGGGGGACGCGCGATCCCAAAAACAGTCTTTTAATCAGTAATTTCACTTATTATTTGAAGGGTATTCATGGAAACGTCTTCAAACTTTGTATACTTACTAATTTTGAGGTGGTCGTTTTAGTGATTTGGTTCATTTCTAAATTTGGGCACTTTTTAACACTCGCCCCAGTCCACTCATCAACTTCTGCCTCCTCCGCAGGCCCTCGTTGCGTCATGGGAAGGTCACACACAATCTGGCGACCTTCCCATGACGCAACGAGGGCCTGCGGAGGAGGCAGCTTCGGAATGGCTAATAGACCTTTCCCCTTATGAGTGAAATTTTGATCTAGATATGCCTCTGCAACAATTTCATCACAGCTTGAAAGAGCATCACAAAATTAGTAATATTCCGAAGTTTCGTTGCGAAATGTTGTAAAATGCGGATAATGTAGCCTTGCGAAGTTTGCCGTTTTTTAGTCATTTTGCATTACAATCTAACATTTTGCATCAGTTTGATCATCTGATTATCAATTTCCAGTATGTAATACAAAATGACTGAAAAACGGCAAACTTCGCAAAGCCATATTATCCACATTTTACAACATTTCGCAACGAAACTTCGGAATATTACTAATATTGTGATGCTCTTTCAAGCTGCGATGAAATTGTTGCCCAGGCATATCTAGATCAAAATTTCACTCATAAGGGGAAAGGTCTATTGTGCTCCTTGTTCTAACTCGTTGTGTGAAGTCACTGAATGAATGTCTTTCAGAAACCTGTACTTTATGTACACATCGAGTCTTAAGTTTATACCAGCTCAAGTACGCTGCAATAGTCATTGGAGTAGCAGTCAGGTACGATTAAAAATCTTGAATTATCGCACCCTGAATATTAATACTGTTAAAGGTCCTTGCTCCTATATAAGCATCAAGAGTTTTCAGTGAAGTTGACCACCTTTCTGCCGTCATGAAACGCCGAGAATATACGACAGTATATCCAAAAATAACACAACACTTTACGTACAGTACTACCACAGAATAGGGTACACAGAAGGCCGACTTCTTGGTTTTTCCTATGATTTTGGCGTAACCCGCCATGGTCCTAGCCAGTGCGCGTTTGAGAGGCATTCACCCCCTGATAATATTCAAAATGGCGGACGTCCAGGGGAGGAATGCCTCTCAAACGCGCACTGGCTAGGACCATGGCGTCAGCATTTTGATGATGAATCATGGCGTGGCAGCGGTTACTCGAGTCGGCCTTCTGTGTGCCTTATTCTGTGGTACTACAGATCTCAAAACACATTAAAACCGCATTTCACCATCGACAAATTTTCCATAAATTTCCTTCGTCAAAACGCTGTACTCAGCCAACTTCGAGTCAAAATAAAACAACTTGTCTTTGACCAGCGATAGATCAAATCCTTCTTTCCGAAGTCTTGTTTTCTGGAATTTGAAAGTGCCAGTCGTGTCTACGGAATTAGTAACCCTGAGGAACACCGGTCTCGCATACGGGGGTAAAACGTCCGGTAGCTTTTTCGAGACAAACTCCATACTGATGACGTCATCAGGATCTTCAATCGCAGCCATTCCGGCGCGGCCTTCACATCCGGGAATCTCGACTCCATACACTACCACTGAATTCAAACCCAAGGCATTTGCCATTACCGCCTCAACTTCGGAAGTCGAGACATTCTCGCCACGCCATCGGAAAGTGTCGCCAAGACGATCGTGAAAGTAGAGGTAGCCTAACTCGTCCCAGTAAACTGAGTCACCACTGAGAAACCACTGGTCATCTTTCTTCATTACATCGTGGGCGATCTTCTTTTGAGAGGCTTGTTTATTTACATAGCCATCAAAATGTCGTGCGACGTTACCTTTGAATAGAGATAGAAATGTGAAAACCTAAATCTGTTTTGACAGGATAGCTATATTAGTTCCAAACTGTTCTTCCGGGTAGTCCAGTGAAAGGCAACTCAAGTCCAGTATTATATATACCACAGGAGGAAACCTAAACTAAACTAAGCTTATTTAAATTGAATAGCCCTATCAGTTCTGAACTCTTCTCCCTAGAGATCCAGTAAGGATCATATCTTATTGGTTCAGTGTTACTACAAGAGGAAACCTAAACTGAACTAACCTTCCATCTGATCACGGATCGGTGGAAGGGTGTCTGATCACGGCTCAGTTAGGGGGTTAATCCCAACCCACCCTGTCAAGATTCCCAGTGGGAGGAAACCGGAGTACCCGGCGAAAACCCACGACTTTCAGCAGAGTGCTGACAGACTCTTTTCACATGAGTGTCATTGGTCCGATGTGAGGATCGGGCCCACAATCTCAGAGGTGAAAAGCGCTTGCTCTGACCAATCCCCCCCCAGAGGCGAATGACAAAAGTGCTAACCACTTTACCACTGACGCCAAGTACTGTTTACTCACGTTTCTCAATTCTGCCAGCAATTTGGCCAATTTCCCCAGGACTACATGGAATACACAATCCATCGGGTCCCCGAACCAGCTCTCCCGTTGAAAGATCAATTTTAAAAACCCTAATGGGTAAAGCTTGCGGCACGGTAACAGACAGAAATGCCATTGCACCCGGATAAGAGTCGAGATTTATGAGCGAAATATTGCTTTCAGTTGCGCCGTAAAATTCACCAATAAAAGGAACATTAAATCTACTCTTGAATTCATTCCAAATTTGAGGACGAAGTCCGTTGCCGCTCATAAAACGTAGCGAGTGTTTCTTGTCGCTTTCTTTTGGAGGTTGTGCCAGCAAGTAGCGACAAAGTTCACCAATGTAAAGTGCACCCTAGCATAACAAGAAAGACTACAGTATACAAAAAAACTATACCAACTTTAATTATGCTGGATAGGTTTGGCCCTAGGATTCCGGTGCAGCGCTCTAAGCAACTGAGCTACAGTTGTCGAATTCTGACCGCAAGTTCATGTATATAATATAATCCTAATGAAAGGCGTATTCGATATACTACTATTGTATGATTCCAGCTATATAGATGAAATTTTGATCTAAACAAGAAGAACGAAAACCATTACCATAGCTGGAAAGAGCATCTTAAAATGAGTAAAATTACAAAGTTTGGTTGCAAATTGTTGTAAAATGAGGAAAATATAGCCCTGTGAAGTTCGCAAATTTTGTATATATTTGCATTACGCGCGGGAAAATACCATTTTTGAGCCGAAAGTGGTTACTTTTACCGCACGTAATACAAATACATATAAAATTTGCGAACTTCCCAAAAATATATTTTCTTCATTTTACAACATTTAGCAACCAAACGTTGCAGTTCTACTCATTCTAAGACGCTCTTTCTAGCTGTGGTGTTGGATTTCGTTCTTCTTGCCTTGATCGAAATGTAGACTATAGCTGAAATCACCCATTTCGACGTTTCGAGCGAGTTACGAAGGGTCGAAATTCTACGTCTGGAGTTACGAAGGGTCGAAATCCCCTTGTATTTTTCAGATAGTTCCATCTCTACCAACAAAACGTTTCTCATACTATTGGGAAAACAGAAACAGTTCAAGATTGTGTTATTATCATTTATAGGGTCGGAGCGAGGGGGATTCGGCGTAATATTTCCCGAAGTGATGATATTTTCCGAGGGGCTTTGCCCAAGGAAAATATCATCACTGAAATATCATCACGAGGGTCTATAAATGATGTATTATACCGAAAGTTAAAGAACTCACTAAGTTCAGAGTAAACTTTAAAACTTGCTGAATATAATTTAACTACGCGAATACAATTTTTAATTTCTTATGTATACCCGAGTTTTGGACGTTTCCTCTTTAAAATACTTGAGCATGGATCATTAAAGGTAACATACGTCTTGAAAATCGTTTGTTAAATCAAATCTTCTGTACGAAAATACGAACTTTACAAACAACAGCTCGCGAACGCCATATTGTTTCAGAGCGTGGTGTTCACGCGTGAGCGTGATATACTATAATATTATACCTCAAATTCAAATTGTCCAATCAGGAAGCTTAGTTTGTGCCACGTGAGCATGAAATTAATCGCGATATCACGCTTTACGTCATCAATTAGCGAGCCTGCGTTCCTTTTGACAATGTTCCACCCGGGGTGGAACATTATTCGCGTAGACCACGCGGGACAACACGCATGACAAAACAAAAATAGTATTAATGAGTGATGAATAATTCAATTTTAAACCTAAAACCTGGGGCTTTTCCAAACCTAAAACCTGGGGCTTTGTCATTAATATTCCAAACGATATGTGATTCGAAAGAAAAGTGACAATACTTGCGTTAATCCGAAAATAAAACATCGTATTCACGAAGGTATGTGTCAAGTTTTTAATTCTCAACTTGGAGGCTTTTAATTTTCGGTATAATATATCATTTATACACCCTCCGCTCGGGAGGATTTATAGACCCTCCGCTCAGTGATGATATTTCCCTCGGGGCAAAGCCCCTCGGGAAATATCATCACTTCGGGTAATAGCCCCGAGGGAAATATCATCAGAGGGTAATATTTCGCCGAATCCCCCTCGCTCCAGGTCTATAAATAATAAATATCCCACGGTGGATCTGCCATGGTATATTATAGTATCTCACGCTGCATTGGGAAATCATGAATTTGAGTGAAATACCGTAAAAAATCACATCATCACGTGGTACAAATGCTGTTTCTTCATAGGACAATTTGAATTTGAGGTATAATATTGAGGTATATTTCACATACCGTTGCTTTGTATTTAATGCACTCGTCCCAGAAGCGGCTGGCTGAGAACTTTCTTCGAACCACCACTGTCACTCCACATGTAATCACACTGCCAACGCCCAGAATACCACCACTACTGTGGTACAGCGGTAATACACAATACAATACGTCAGCAGGAGATAACTTCAGTACGATACCCCAGGCAATAGACATGAGGAAAAACCTTTAAAAAGTTCATTTTATAATAATAATAATAATAATAATAATAATACTGCGGGCAATATGGATATTTCCGTTCTCATCTGTTCCGCTCTAATTTCGGTATTATAGAATTATTAAATATTCAATTAGGGGAATTACTATTTTTAGACTTTTGTAACTTTGTATTCCTTTGTAATTTTAACTTAATCCTAACCCTAAACCTAACCCTTACTCTAACCCTGATCTTAATCCTAACCTTTCCCTAATCCTAAAAGTTTTAAAATAGTAACTCGATCCCCCTACTGAAGATATGACTCAAATGTTGATATTCAATCAGTGTAATTTTCAGAATTAGTTATCAAACATAAAAAATGTCTGTGAGGCAGGATTATGTGCAGGATAGTGTTATCCATTGAATATTTTCAATCCTTTTTAACTTTTAATTGACTGGTATGATGTATTAAACTTCAGAATTTATAATGAATTAGGATGAAATGATGATTACACAAGCCCAGATACCTGGTATGTTTTATGACAGAAGCTTTGGGTAGTCCTGTTGTTCCTGATGTGTAGATATAGAACAAGATATCTGGAAAAAACAAAATAATAAAATGTATGACAGTAATAAATAATAATAAATAATAATAATAAAATGTATGAAGTATGACACACAACCTCTGGATCAAGGCCCTATAATTTGCTCAAATACTACCTAGCTATGTTTGAGCCATATCTTTTTCAGGTAGTTCAGACACAATTAATTACCATGGCAGTTTATTGTAGAATACTATCTACACTGGACCACCATGCCTGAGATATCTTTTTCAGGTAGTTCAGACACAAACCACAGCAGCTTATTGCAAAATACTACCTACACTGGACCACCGCATTTGAGATATCTTTTTCAGGTAGTTCAGACCAGTAAACTCTATGTAAACTGGAAGGCTAACTCCTATAATAAAAAAGCCTATGATTTGCTAAAGCCAAAATGGTTTTTTGAGTTACAGTGTATGAGCAGAAAATACTTGATCCCAAACGTTGGGCTATACAGTATATCAAACTGAAACTATTGGAAATTACTATTCGGTGTGGAAATTTCAAGACTTAAAAAATACAAACTGCCATTCAGCCAGAAAATGGCAAACTATCAGCAATTGTTTTTGTAGTTTTTAAATACTTCCTTTTTAGCTAAAGTCCTGAAATTTCTACACCAAATAGTGCTTTTCAATAGCTCCAGTTCCATATACAGCAAAACGTTCAGTGTTGAGTATTTTAACTCAGAAAAACTAAAATGCACTGGCTTCAATCCAGGGTTTTAGCCAGGCAGTCGTCCGACCGTCCTACGGACGGCCACTTCTGAATTCGAACGGCTAAATTTTAATGGACGGTCATGGACGGCCTAAGGGAATATTTTCTTTAGATAGTAATTTACAAGCTTTGTAATATTTATGTAATAATGTTTTTGTAACCATGTTGATGATCCTCGCATGAAGTATCAATGAGAATAATTTGAAACTGCTGTTTTAAAAACAGTAATCGCTTTATCGCTGGAGCACCACGTGCTTACAGTTACGGTAAAGATGGCTATAAAATGAGCAAAACGCATAAAAAAGGGAAAAATATCGGCGATTGATAAAAAATAACTAAACACTACACTGCTGTAATGTGTTCTTCATTATGGCATATACTGTACATCGTAGTAATCATACGGTTCATACCATACGTGTGCTTTTACTAATTTAATGACGGAAATGTGCGTCTAAAACTATTAAAAGTAAAAAGGTTCAACGAATAGAACACCACAATTCCACAACAACAAAAAATTGCGGCCACGCCCAAAAACATGTGACCACGCACACAAAATTATTTTGGACGGCCACTTTTGAAATCCTGGCTAACACCCTGCTTCAATCCCACCCCCCACCCTGACTTAGCCTTCCAGTTTACATGCATAGAGTTCAATGGTTCAGACACAAACATGACAGCTTATTGCAGAGTACTACCTATACAATGAGCCACCATGTTTGAAATACCAAGCACATAACTATGTTATCTTTCCAAACAGTCTTACCATCATATCGTTTCTCATGGAGTAAAGCTGGTGGATTTTCGGAACAAACTTTAAATTTTTCTAAAATATTTTGAGACTTGAGTCCATTTGAGCTTCCATTACCAAATTCAAATAATTCTGTGTTACTTATACTGGACGATATATCTGCAACAGCATCTAGCAAAGAAAAACCCACAACAATGATCATATCTTCATCAACTAATCAATTTTAATGATTGGATTCATCAATTGAGCTAATGACTGTTTAAATGAGCTAGTGAAAGAAAGATTGACCAATTAATTGTTAATCATTGATTGATTTATTTATAAATTGATTAAATTATTGGATAAAATTACTGGTTTGTTGATTAACCCATTGAGCCACAATGCACCCCAGTGCATCTACTATTTTTTTTTACTTGTCTAATGCCAGACAATTTTATTCGTCAATGGGGGAAGCTCTGCAGTTTAATGGGTTAACCAAAAAATCTGACAATGTCTCTAGTTAACCCATTGAGCTGCAATGCAGTATGCCCTACTTATTTTTTTTACTTGTCTAACGCAAGACAGTTCTATTCATTCATCAATGGGGAAGCTCTGCAGCTCAGTGGGTTAAATGATTGATTTATTGATTAAATAATTGATTTATTGAATTATTGGTTTATTGATTAAACAATTGATTTATTGAGTGAATGATTCATTTATTGATTGGAATGATTAATTTGTTACATTATTGGTTTATGAATTAAACAATTGATTTATTGATTGGATGATTAGTTTATTAAATAATTGATTAAATTATTGGTTTATTGATTAAACAATTGATTTATTGAGTGAATGATTCATTTATTGATTGGAATGATTAATTTGTTACATTATTGGTTTATGAATTAAACAATTGATTGGATGATTAGTTTATTAAATAATTGATTAAATTATTGGTTTATTGATTAAACAATTGATTTATTGAGTGAATGATTCATTTATTGATTGGAATGATTAATTTGTTACATTATTGGTTTATGAATTAAACAATTGATTTATTGATTGGATGATTAATTTATTAAATAATTGATTAAATTATTGGTTTATTGATCCATTAAATAATTAATTGAATAATCCTGATTAATTGAATGCTTTATCAAGTAATTGATTTTATGAATTGAATAATTTTTCCCCAAATTCGGATTCCATTTAATTGAACGATTTATGGATTGACTGGATGGTTATAGATGGACTAAGTATCAAATGGTCTATTGAATGATTTCTTCATTGATTTATTGGCTCATTATTTGATACAGACTGTTTGATCCTTACCGGCTATAGCAGAATCAGACGAATAAACCAAACCCTTGGCATTAACAATTGATATACAATGAGCAAGGGATTCTTTTCTTAAGTTGTAATTGACAAGCGATGAAATAACACCAATTTTCGCTAGACCAAGCCAAAAGAACACTAATTCAGGTCGATTCTCCATGAATAACGCAACAACATCGCCTTTCTTGTAACCGATACTTTGAAAGTAATTCCCAACTTTGTTGGAAAAATATTCCACTTCTTGAAATGTCCAACATTTGTCCTCGAATATAAAAGCAACTTTATCCCTGTGCTTTTCTGCTGTTTGTTGGAAAGTATCACACATTGTCATGTTGTTACGTATCTGTTGTCGAACTTTGGTCATAAGTTTCAACAAAACAACTAAGCCCCTGAAATTTGTCAAACAAGTATGTTGTCATCTTATTGATTTACATAAGTAATGTTTTTTTTCCCGTTTTTGGATCTTGGTAGTTGGTTCTCTGATTATAAATTATCCTATGTCACTGTCTAGCCGATAAATACAGTGGGCTTGTAATGTACACATTCTCACACCCTGCTGGGAGCTGCTGCAGTCATCCTCCGCAAGCTTGACTTTTATTTCACAATAACAGCTAGCACAGCTAATCATGCACAGCTCTGCAACATAATTATGTTTTTACATAAAAATTACTGAGGAGTTATTGTTACTGTTTAGTTACATAAACGTCCACGGCGTCTAACAAGCTAAATGTCTATAATTAACAGGTGGAGATTTATGTTAAGCGTTGCGGAAGCAACAACATGTGCTGGCTCTGGGCTGCAAATAAATATTTGACTTGACAGGACATTTGTCCGATCACTTTTAATTTTCGTCGGACATAACATGAATTTGGTCAGACATATATATACGTCACAAGATATATATAAGTCACGAGACAAGTATGTATAGCCATTCCGGCGCAACGGTAAAATGCTAGAATGCCTCGTAAATTTTCTTGCAAAATGCAAATTGAGTGAATTTGCAATCGGATTTTGTCACAGCAAAAAAATTTATATAATGTGACAATATATTTTTTTGATCGGACCAATGTCCGATCAAAATTACTTTTGCTCGGACATTTGCCAGTAATTTGCAGCCCTGCTGGCTTAACCTGCACCACCCAATTCACAATCGGGCTCCCAGCCTTGTGTGAGAAAACTTTTCTGCTTCTTTCATACCTCAGCCAGCAGAAAATAACACTTTTGGTGGGAAATAACTCCAACCTAGCACCTACCCCATTATTTTAAATTTTGCATAATTTCCTTGCCAAATTAACTTGGAATACTCAACTCGTCCCCAGTTGTCTCTGTGAGCACACTCGGGCAAACCCTCATTTCATCCTTTCCTTTCCACCCCTGTGTGCACTTTCCAACTCGCCACGCGTCACTCGCACATGCTGACAGGGACGACTGGAGACAAGTCTGGACTTCTACAATGTCGAGTGGTGATGCACCATTGGGGCGTTCCAGAAAAGATCCACACTCCCCCCACAGAGGAAATTTCTGCCGTCCGAAGGAGAAAAAATTGTTTCTGATAATAGTAAATGTATTAGGACATCCGAAGGGGGTAGGGGGGTTAACTTCCAATTTCCTCTGTGGAGGTGGTATGGATGTTTTGTGGAATGACCCATTTACAGAGGAGCTCACAAAAATTTGAAATGTCAACATAGACAACTTGTTTTTTTGTAATAAAATGGATCACCGACTATTTTTTAAATTGGCCTAAGGGTGGGGGTTACTTCCGACCAAGACGTGTACTTTACAAGCCTACTGTATTTATACTTTAATAGGTGATGTGCAAGTTACGTCACCGTCGCCATGTTGGATGACATTGACAAAGGATTTTGCTTGTTTGCAATGCAAATATCATCCAACATGGCAAAAACCTCTTTGTCCTTTGAATCCCGTGGGAGTGGTTGCACATCACCTAGCTATATAGCTTAATTAAAAGTGAAGTGCAACCCATTCACACCCCATTTATATTGAACATCAACAAATTTTTAAGCCACACAAACCTAAAATCTCGAGGAAATGTCAACCAAATCAAACGAACGAATCTCCACCCACCAGACGCCAGATAAATGCCTAGTGTAACACCAAACGCCAACAACCAGGGGAGATTTAACCAACCCACTTGAATAGCGAGTAAAGCCAGACCGATGGAAAACTTATAGGCCATTTTATTCGCAAGAAAATGTCTTAAAAATCTCGCTGAAATCGAAGGCTTTCGCAAACTCCAAATTGTCATCTACAATCGACCTTTGTCTTTCCCAAAGTTACATGTAATAGAAAGCGGCTAAATAATTGAAAAAAAAGTTTCATGTATTAATTTTAAATAGGCGGCGGCTAAATTTGAAACATCACCATGACATAGTGTGATTGTGAAAGCATTTTAATTATTCTAACATGAAGTTTTAATTGGTGCCAAAGGCAGAAGCATTCATTGTACAGAACTTCATGTAAGGTTTTTTTTTCTGTGTTGGTGTAGTGTACTCAGGTGAATATGATATTTGTGGTGTTACTCTGAGTGTATATCCACACCGGGCGAGCTTGAAAAATATGCCCG